TACCATCTCTCAAACAACCTTGATGTTTTTTATCTTGGTTCTGATGGTATGGTAAGTTAACAATAACAACCTACACCACTCAATTACACTGTATTTCACTTCATAGTGATGTTTATTTCTCTTCTTCACTTCTAGTTGAAAGAAAAAAAAACTTGTGTAATTAAACATTGTGATTCACAATATTAACTTTCATTTGGGTATTTTTTCCTCTAGGTCTCGTTGTGTTTGTATGGTAGGGCGTAGGCCGTAGTGGTAGGGCGTAGGCTGTTGGGGTAGGGCCTTCATCTCAGATCTTCATGTGCACACTGCAGTTGGAGTTCATTAACATGAATATTTTGGCTTGCCCTAACCTGCTAATATGCGGAAACCCCAAATACAAAATGGGTCCAAAACGTAAACTCTTTTTTTTATCGATAGTTATATCGATATATCGATAGTTTCTATTCGTTACTATCGATATATCGATAGTTAGATTCTTCGATAGTTTCCCACCTCTAACCTACAGTAAAATGAAAAACTATTGTAAAAAACAAATTCTCAGGTTTGAAACAGTCTGTGGCGCACCCAAGGGGGGGGGGTTTTGGGGGTTAAAACCCTCCCCGAAATTTAGCACTGGTACAAAGAATTTTCCGGTAAAAATATTTTTTTTTGTTGCGATTTTGGTTAATAGGTAGGTACCTAAAAACTTTCCATTTTACATTTATAAAAAAAAGCCTATTTACGTTACGCAAAATTACTGAAATCTGGAATCGAAACCAAGAACATGGAAATCTGGCAACCTGGCCCTACATCGTACAGTTGTATTGACAGTTGAGTTGTAAATGGCGCTATACTGTACTTGGAGCTCTTCAAATTTTGGCGCGTAAATAATCCAGTGTAATTTAAACATCAAAGGCGTTTTCTCGCGTCTCAAATGTTTCAAAACATTTTTCAAAACTGGTTTAAGTAATGTCACTATGACGTCATAATTTCTCGGCGCGAGAAAATGGTTTAAAAACGTGGATTGGATTGTATTTCGAAATGGTTTGAACCAATTTTGACGTGACGTCATGAGTTTATCGCGAGAATGTACACTTGGCCAATCATAAAACTAGTACGCCTTCTCTTATTATGTGGTATTGTGTAAATCGACCTTTCTTATCACTTCAAAAGTGACAAAAAGAGTCAAGTCAGTGTCATATTTAAACCAATCATAACATAGAAACATGTTGCGTTTACTTTTGTTCAGCTTTGACACGCTTTGACATTGACAAAAACTATCTGCCCCCGGATTCTATTTTACGAGTCGAGTCGAATTGGCTCGATATCGAATACGACAGCTCCAGACGTACTGTGTAATACATATGTGGAAAAATCGAAAAATAGAATCGCTATTCTGACAATTCGATACGAATTTCGACTCGACTCGTAAAATAGAATCCGGCCTCTGACCTACAAAAAAAAATAGGTTTTTCAGAAGAGACTTTTTGTTGTTAAGCCTGACTCACATTAGGCAAATTTAGAAAATATAAAATCTGTTTTTTTTTTAAAGATAAAAGTCAAAATGACATTTCTGTTGGCAATACAATGTAAAATTGTCAATGCTTTCAATTTTTTTTATGTAGAAAAGGCTTGTGTTGCCAACATAGTTACTAAATTTTTGACTTGGGGAATTATCTTTAAAAAAAACCAGACTTTATATTGCCTGTACCAGTTTTATGTTTTGCTAATGCACGTATGCACCATTGCACATATTCTCTGATTAAAACTTTAGCCGTGATTACATCATATTTCTGTTAAGCATACTTTTCAAGCATCCATTTTTCCGTCAATCCGATGATTTGGAAGTATTCCTATTGGTCCTAATATTTTGGTGCCATAATATTGGACCCATAGGAATACTTCCAGATCATCAGATTGACGGAAAAACGGATTCATGAAAAGTAAGCTTAAGAGAAATATTATGTAATCACGGCTAAAGTCTTAATCAGAGAATTTGTGCAATGGTGTATACAGGCAAGTGTACTGTTTCAAAACAGTTTTGAACCAGTTTCAAAAAAGTGGACGCGAGAAAACGTCTCAAAAGTTTAGTTTGACGTGTGGTTTTAAGACAAGCTGACGCTGACACTTTTAAAAATATTCGCTAAGGGCCACTGAACGTTTTGGAAGACATTTTAACTTATTCACTGTCCATTGTTAGTATTTAGTCATCTTTCCTTCTACTCATTTGAACGGTTTAAAGCTATTGACATTTACCGCCAAAATTGAAAGCACTCCAGTTCACTCGCGCCCTCTACAAAATTTTGGGGAACTTACTGGATATTTGCTGCCATTCGCGGTCATAGTGAAGGTGTATTTCCACCAAGTGCGCAAAACGATTGCAAATTTGCGAATGATCAGCAATGTTTGTGATTTGTGAACATTATTTGATTGGTGGAGATGGAATTTAGAATGTTTGCAACCATGTAGGAAACTCTCTTTCTTTTAGGGCCGAATTTATAGTCATTCCTTGAGTCTGCCTTAAAGGTCGTGAGTTCAGAATGGACACTTGGTACTATTTGACAAGTTAGTCATGTCAATTCTAAACGTTCAAGGCTTCCTAAGGTCCAAGGAAACCTCAAGGAGCGACTAAAAATTCGGCCCTTAAATACACATGATTATGAAAACAGTGGCGGTGACAATAGCTTTTTTACGCGCAGCTATTTTGCTGTGAGCGTTCGTTTTAATTGTTTTTTGATGGAAATCACCTACAAAAAGTTATTTTTCGAAGGCTTAAAATAAACGTTTTTGGGCGTGACACCCGAAGAAAAATTCTTCTTATGGCGGCCGGCCTACGGCAGCGCCTGTCTGCGATGAACCTTGATCATTATGAAAACCCCCCCCAAATGAAAAACCCGGGTGCGCCACTGGAAACAGTATATTATATTTTCGCGATGGTTGCCCGTGACGTCTAAAATTGGTTCAAACCGTTTCGAACTACAATCGAATACACGTTTTCAAACCATTTTCTCGCGCCAAGAAGTAATGACGTCATGTGACACTGTTTTAAACCATTTTTGAAATAGTGTATTTTGTTGAAAAATTACTATTCCTACGACTGCCTCTGAAAATGGAGTTTTTCACACACTAGGCAATCTCTGAAAATAGAGTTTTTCACACGGCGTGCGAAATAGTTATTTTCCTAACAAGTGCGCAAAGTGTTACTTTTCCGCACGCAAACACAGTTATACGAACGACGCGAAGCGGAGTTCGGATACGTGTTTGCGTGCGGAAAAGACACTTTGCGCACGTGTTAGGAACAAAATTTTTCCTACGAGCTTCATATCAGGTAGGTAACAACAAAAATTTAAAAAAAAAACGATAATTTGTTTAATTATTTTTAATTAACTTGAAGGGAACCTATGCATTTATCAAAAAATTACATAACAAAAAAAAAATATAACAGAAAATCATCGTCAGAGCTCTTCATCTTAAAGCGTTTAATGGCGATTTCCATTTGTCATCAGTGCCGCACTGAGTGCATCCGCATCTTTTTCTAAAAGCATGTAACATGTAAGGATAAGGATACATTTTTTTGCCCTGTTTCGACAAATGGAAAATGCTATAAATTTGATGAGAAAGTTTGTAGATGCATATATATAGAAAACAAATCTGACAATGTGTTGAAGTTAATTAAATTTGGTGTTTGTAGGTATAGATGTTAGCTGGAACAGGAACAGAGGAAAAATTTGTCATCATGTGTCAAAGTCGACAGGTGTACTTATTGTTGCTTGACAATTATTTTTACTTTTCGGCACTCAGTGCGGATAAGGCCTGTATCCGCACTGAGTGCGGAAAAGTGCAACTTTGAGAACCGAAATGCGTGCGGAAAAGTACTACTTTGCGCACGCTCGTAGGAAATAGTTATTTTCCTAACAAGTGCGCAAAGTGTTACTTTTCCGCACGCAAACACAGTTATACGAACGACGCGAAGCGGAGTTCGGATAAGTATTTGCGTGCGGAAAAGACACTTTGCGCACGTGTTAGGAACAACATTTTTCCTACGAGCTTCATATCAGGTAGGTAACAACAAAAATTTAAAAAAAAAAACGATAATTTGTGCAATTATTTTCAATTAACTTGAAGCGAACCTATTCATTCATCAAAAAAATACATAACAGAAAAACAGAAAATTGAAATCCTCGTCAGAGCTGTTCATCTTAAAGCGTTTAAATTTGATGCAAAAGAAGTTTGTAGATTCTTGCATGTAAATGGGAACACAAATCTGACAATGTGTCAAAGTTAATTATATTCAGTGTTTGTATAGATGTTGGCTGATATAGAAACAGAGAACAAATTTGTCATCATGTGTCAAAGTCGACAGGTGCACTGATTATTGCTTGACAATTATTTTTACTTTTCGGCACTCAGTGCGGATAAGGCCCGTATCCGCACTGAGTGCGGAAAAGTGAAACTTTGAGAACTGTAATGCGTGCGGAAAAACACTACTTTGCGCACGCTCGTAGGAAAAAGTTTTTTACACGCTTCTTATCAGTTTTCTATTTATTTTGGTCCTATCATCCTGACATGAAATGACATAAATTGCGATTGTCACCAATTTCTGATGTTGATGATTTTTTTTCTTACAAATAAAAATTACATATGTATTTGGTTGCTTTATTTTGCAGTTGTAGAGAAAGCATTGTAAAAAACTCGTTTGAAAACGTTTTTTCACACTCGCTTGGCTTGTGGAACTCGCCTACGGCTCGGCCCAACAAACTGTCTCACCGTGCGACAAAAGTCGTTTTCAAAACTTGTTGTTTAAATAACAATTAATACATTTTGAGACGCGAGAAAAAACCTCTGTTTCTATATGTTGCTTTCGGTGTGGACGATGATTTGAATTATATATTCTTTGGTTATACTAATCTCAACTTTATCGTTTGTTAAGATATAAGCTGTCTGTCAGGTCGTTTAAGTTATTGTGAACGGGATTTGAAGCAAAATATTGGATGTTTGATATCAAAATCCAGCTACAGCGTTTGAAAACCAAGTCCAGTGCGAGAAAAATCAGAAAAAAAGGAGTCGTTAAAAGTCTAAATTATTACCTATATTTAATAACCAGTCGTAAATTATCTAACGTTCAACATCTAAAAACCAAATTAATTCAACAATGTAAAAACATGCATAAACTTATCCCTATATGACACTCAAATATATTTTTGTACTTCCATGAATTGTGCGGATCCTTCCAATCGTCTTTTTCATACACCAACATCGAAGCTAGAGCTTGAATGGGATGGATCTTGAACTTCACAGTCCAGGTAACGTCGAAACTTTTCCTCTTGCCCTCTTCTTCCAAAGGCAAAACTTCCTGTGGGTTCTCGTAGTGACAGAAAATCGACAGGGTCGGTACCATTGGTACCAATGTCGGTGTCGGTGCAAACGTGAATCGTAGTTTGGCCGTGATGAATTTTCCTTCTTGGGTGTTGGAAACTTGCACTTCGGCGGAGGCTTGACCAAACGAAGACCTAGAATTACTGTTGTATAATAACTTAGAAATACATTTTCATTTTGACTCTAGTCAGTAACACATATACAAAACCAACATTATTTTGAGAAAAATAAATATGGTAGATATACTAATTGATTTGTTTTTTAATTTTCATTTTCCATGAAAGTGAGGTCCATTTCTTTTATCTGGTAAATTTTGTCGGATTCCCTTTCTTTCTTCTCAATGCAAACGACAAATCGGTTCTTTATAAGCAGAACAGAAAGGGCAATATCTGGAGGACCCAAGAAACCATCGAATGAACGCACGTCGCACGCGTGTCTCAACATCTGCAGAAATAAGTTTTAATAATAATAATTAACGCTCAAGTAAGTTCACACGTGGGTCTGAACTCTGAACATCTGTGAGGAGACTTATACAGGAAAACACAATAAGACTAATCGGATTTGCAATAGAAATTTAGCAAACATTGACGAATTCTTGAATTTTGTTCCATTGAACCTAAATTCAATTAGGTAACTCCAACTACCCTATTGAGTAAGTACAAGTATTTTTTTAGAGAGAGAGAGAAAAACAAATCTTCTTAGATGTTATGCAGGCTTAGGTTTGCGCGGCTTGGAGAGAAAAGCCCAATCCGACAAGCTATGTGGAGTGGCTAGTATCATGGTTCTGGAGTCTAATAAAAAAGACGGGTCTGAAGAACGCACTCTAAAGGACATCAGATAGACACCACAATAAGGGCGGGTATTATAAAACTGCTTTGACAGTTAACTTGAAGTTAACTTTTTGAATTACATGTAATTCCAGAAGTTAACTTTAAGTTAACTCTCAAAGTAGTTTTATAATACCTACCCACCCTAAGGGCGGGTATTATAAATCTACTTTGAAAGTTAACTTAAAGTTAACTTCTGAAAATACATGTAATTCAAAAAGTTAACTTCAAGTTAACTGTCAAAGCAGTTTTATAATACCCGCCCTAAATCTGACAAGGTTGCAATGGTAGCAGACGTACACTTGGCCAAACATAAAACTGGTACAGGCAATATATTTTTTTAAATTTGCCTAGTGTGAGCCCAGCCTAACAACAAAAAGTCTGTTCTGAAAAACTTAGATCAGACAGTTTTTGTCAACGTCAAACCTGAACAAAGGTAAATGCACCATGTTTTTATGTTATGATTGGTTTAAAATAAATATGACACTGATTTGACTTTTTTTGTCATTGTTGAGGTGATAAAAAAGGTCCATTTACACAATACAACACAATAGGAAAATGCGTACCAGTTTTATGTTTGGCCAAGTGTACATTATTACCTACCAAAATTTTCCTAAAATGAAAAACACTTTCAAGAACTTACCTTATTTCAAGAAGTATACCCAAACTCTTGTTCCAGTCGCCTATTTCCACCTTGCGCAAAGTTTTGATTCCTGTAGTTGTAATTTCAGGAACATCCGTTCTGTTCACATCGTTGCTGTGACGAACCTCTTTGTTTCTACAATGGTTTCTACAGATCATATTAAGCACGTCAACGGAAATTGGATCATTCTAATCATAATAATTATAATTGAGATTTTTATTATTTTTTGAAAAATTCATGAGTACCTGGAAGAGGCCCTTGTCCTTGTCTTCTTTGCGCTTCAGCAGCTTCACAGTGGCTTTTTTGAGCCTCATCGTAAGAGCCATTTTTAAGCCAGAAATTGAACGTATACCTAAAATGACAGGTTTTTGAGGTTTGTTTTTTGACAACTGGTTGTACAGAGAGGCACAAACTTGTTTAAAACAATACTTTTCATATAAAGGTAATTGAAATGCACCCTGTAGCAGGAGCGGTGAGATCAAAAACGGAACAAATTCGTTAAAAAAGTAAAGCACAAAAGCAAATTTATTTACTACTTTTTCATTGTGAGTCAAATTTTTACTCAATTGTTCTGTAAGAACGAATGAATATAGAACTGAGGATATAGATTAAACTTTGTAAGATTAACGTAAATTAAAGTAGTTTTTATGTAATATTTATGTAAGAAATAAGTATTATTATATCGTTATTACCTCAAACATTTCAAAGGTTTCATATTAACGTAAAAATGTGTGTAAATAATAATAATAATAATAATAATAACCCGTGTGGAGTAAGAATGTATGAAGAATGTCCCCACGGTAGTCCCTGCCTGTCGTGATAGGCGACTAAAAGGAAACCACCGATATTCCAGCAACTCATCAGGTGTGAGAAAAGCTACTACTAATACTAGTAAAAAGCAGGGTGGCGGAGGATTGCAGGCTGATCCGTCTCGGAACCGCATTCAGAAGCCCAGCTTGATCCAAAGACGAGTGGAGTAAACGGCACTACTACTTTGGATAATGGACCCGTAAGAACCAGCGAAATAAAAGGTGAAAGGTTTTCAAGATCAGACATAGTAAAAGAAATTGTCTATTCAGAGCCATTAGTCTATATTTGGAGGGCAATCAAGATGATCATCAGCAAATCCGAGCAAACGCTGTCAGATAATTCAGGAACATTGGACTTCACTTCAAATATATAGTACAAGAGGAAGATTGCTTGAAGGATGTTGTAGAATACTATCAGTATATGTTACAGGTTGGTACATATGGAACCAGTCTGGAGATTTATGCAATATCAGAAATTTACAACCTGAATATCCATTTATATTTGATGCAGCGAAAACCACCTCGAAAGAAAATTACAATAAAAGACACTCCAATGATACTCGACAAGTCAAGCGGCAGGACAGCGTACCTTCTTATAACTGCTGAAAGTGTTTCGCAGGATTTACCAGTGACCACCATTGTAACAAAACGGCCCTAAGAATCCCTTTTATTTTGCTTCGTAATACAATTAATTGGTCTCTTTTCCCAGCGAGATTAATTCGCTAAATTTCTGACGAAACCATGTCAAGAGTCAAGGGTTATCAATCGGATCCCGAAATAGTGTCCCGATTTTGTCTTAAAATACGACTTTCGAGTCATGGTTCCATGGAAAACAACCCGCATGTTTTGCGACCGATAAGAATCCTAAAAGCGTCATCAAGCTGCCAATATAAATAAGCTGGTGAATCTACTAGATTCATTCAGTTCTGTAACGAAGTTCTGGTGTTTAGTATCGACGTCTTTCTGCTGACTCTCTTTCCGAGACCTTATAGGTAATGTTTCAATTTCAAGTATTTTAATTCATCCATCATAATTATTGTTTTCTGTCTATTATTTATTTTCTCCGTTGTGTAAAGAAGCAAACCATTGGGTTAGCTTCACAACTCAAATCTCCTTTCCAACATGTATCTTACCCTGAATAACAAGGCCGTTTTGTCATTCACTTGTCGAGGACGCCCGTGACTTTTACCCACTAAGAATAATAACCTAGTCTTTCTTTTCTGTATCTTTTAATCTCTAATTTCTCATGTAACTTGTATCATCAAAGGAACGCTCTATACAGGACGCTCATTGATTTCACGCCCTATCATTCCAAATCTCCGTATGTATTTTCTCCCACTTTATTCCAGTAAACGTTGTTAATAACCTACTGTATATTTTTTGCTTTACTTTCATTTCCTTACCAAGATTTACCATTTGTTCAATAAACCATTGTTAGAGTTTAGTAAGAAAAACTGATTTTTTTATTTCCTTTGGAAAACCCCGAGCTAGCATGCCAACTAACTGCGTACAGCTCAGGTAGCAAGAACCCGCACTGGAAGAGGCGATCTAATCAGATTACTAGAAATTATCCGCTCAAAGTTACCTAGATTTTCAGTGGGACTTCAAACAAGTCCCTGGTGGCACGCTACCGCAATACAAAAAGGCCTCTACCAGTGCTAAAACAAAGTCTCCCTTACTCGCCCGTCATATCCAGATGGCGAACGCATTCGGCAACGCATGACATGGACCAATGAAGTGAATAGAACTGTCTTGAGTTGCTATTATCAAGCTACTCAATTTGAAACCCTAAAAATAGGACTCAGATCAAAACTATTCGAACTCTTTACAAAAAAACATCCACATCTGAAACAATATGTAACAGCGCAGCGGCTTATGGACCAAAAGCGAGTAATAATAAACAACAAAAGCTCATGACCTACAAAGCATTAAAGAAGAGGTAGCCAACCGGACCCTCGTCAATAAGTTCAAGTCCTAAAGTCTGTTTTTTTTAAAGATAATTCCCCAAGTCAAAAATTTAGTAACTATGTTGGCAACACAAGCCTTTTCTACACAAAAAATTTGAAAGCATTGACAATTTTACATTGTATTGCCAACATAATGTCAATTTGACTTTTATCATTAAAAAAAAAAACACATTTTAGATTTTAGGAAAACAATTAAGTGTGTATTACCAGAACGTACGTGGGCTACGCACCAAAACACACGATCTATACTGCAGTGTAATAGGAATGTTCACAAAATAAAAAAATTCCGTTTAACCATCATCAAATTATTAAGCATCGTTTCATTAGTAAATCTACAAAATTTTACGAAAATCAGAAAATTCTTTCTATGAGAAAAACGAAGACGAAATATTGATATTCGTTTAAACGCACGAAACGCTGTCTGACGTCACAATGCGTAATGAGTTAGCACGCGCGATTACAGTGGCGTTACTAGCTACTTGGATCAGCCTCTTGTGACGTTGCTTTAGCGATTTCTGTTGGCAATAAAGAATATTGATATTAATATTATTGTTATTATTATTATGGTTCGGTTTTAATTTAACGAGAGACTCTGTTTAACGTTTAAGCTATCTCCTTCATGTCGATCTCTGTGTTATAGGGTTTATCGAAATTAAAGTAGAAAGGTACTATGGCTAAAATGAAGGAAGGTTTTCAAAAGGCCGATTCACATAATCTGCCAACTGTGGACGTTATCTACTATTTCTTTGTTTATTTTGTTATCTACTATGGTATCAGAATCTTTGGTCAAGTGCCGACTTGAATCAGCTCCAGTCCATTGGTGTAGAAGTAAAACAGACGTTATTAGATGTAGGTATAGTTGCATTTGAACAATGATATATAGTTATTTACCTGTAACAAGGGCGGAAAGTTATACTTTCCCGCACGCAACGGCATTTGCACGAACGACGAGCCAACGGAATTCGTGCAAGCCGCAAGTGCGGGAAACATACTTTATGCTCGTTTCAGGCCCATTTTTTCTATAAGCGTGTGAAAAACGCGTCTTCACGCAACGATTTGCGTGCGGAAAGTAGCACATTTTCGCACCTCGTAGAAAAACACGCACGTAGATACCACTCTTTTCGACTCGGTTCAACTTTGTTTGAGTCTCCCATCATTACACTAAGACAGATAATTGGAGTGAATGAAGCTTCATGGGATAAAGCAACAGTCAGCAACAGAATAAATCCAATGTAAACTTGTAAACAAATCTCGCCAACGCGCCAGCTGATTTTTCGCTCCGCACAGTGACGTCACAAGTGGTACTCTCGCCGCTAATTTCGTTTTTTTGTTTTCGATTTACCAGAAAAAATAAAGGGTTTCTAGATGTTTTAACGCTTAATGCGTGTTTTCTGGACCGTGGACCTAAAACCACCACTTTTTATTACAATTGAAAAATAGTGAACATCCCTATTGAGGAGGACTATGACATTATAGCCCTTACCGAGACCTGGCTGGTTGATGGAATTGGTAACTCGGAACTCTTTGATGACAGGTATGGAGTATTAAGAAAGGATAGAGAGCTAACGAAAAAACACTTGGAGGCAGTGTTGCCAGATGGAAAAAATAAAAAATGGTACCTATCTGTCATTCAAAAAAATGGTATTTTGCGAATAAAAAATGGTATCTTCAATTCTAAGGGCGGGTATTATAAACTACTTTGAGAGTTAACTTCTGGAATTACATGTAATTCAGAAAGTTAACTTCAAGTTAAATGTCAAAGCAGTTTTATAATACCCTCCCTAAATGGGAAAGAGGGTCTATTGTTATAGGTATTTTGGGTTGGTTTCTTAATAGCGAATAGCGAGTCACCTATATTGGTTGCTTTTAACTCCAGGGTAAATGTGTCCAGTTGCAATGCTTACCCTGGAGTTATGCTTAATCCGGGGATGACTTGCTATCGAGAAACCGGCCCTTTATTATTTTCATTCCTGAAGGTCTGTTCCGATATGTCAAAAACCGTCCCAAGAACCGTTTCGAAACCACTTTGTATACGAAATTCGGATTCTAGCACAAATTTTGGTTTTTCGTATAATCATGACGGTACAATGTACTTGGAATGATCCTGAGGGCCGGTTCCTCAATAGCGAGTCACGAGTCACCCCCGGGAGAAATCACAGCGAAAAGGCAACATAAAAGTCATTCGGTGAAACAATTAGACATCACAGGAACAAAGAGTTAAAATTGAAAATGGGATACTTATGCAAAAAATGATAGAAAAATGGTAACTGTCATCAAAAAATGGTAGAAAAATGGAAAATGGTATTCTCAAAATTTTCGCAGGTATCACGGAAGAAAAAATGGTATAAATACCAATTAAATGGTATAAATACCATTTAAATGGTATATCTGGCAACGCTGCTTGGAGGTGGAGTATTGTAGTTAGCATTCAAGAAGGCCTTACATTTTCAAATAGTAGAGCCAAATTACAATAATGATATCTTGGAGTGCCTAGTAGCTAAAGTAAAATTTAAAAAAAATGTCTTTTATATTATTTGTATTTATATACCCCCATCTGTTGATTCAAATGTCTATGA